TTCCGGTGAACACGTGCTGAGCTTTCGTCCGTCATATGACGGACATCATCAGAGCGAGGTAACATCCTCATAACAAAATTCAGGCTTGCGAGTCAAGAAATGGAAGTAATCCCAACAATTATGAAACAAGAGATTCCTCGAAACCCAACTTTTCTTCGTATAGAATGAATACATCTCAACTAATAATAATAGTAATAATATAAACACAAATGATGATCATTAGTATGATTTAGATTATACTTCTACTATTGATGATGATGATGATGATGATGATGATGAAACAATATTGTAACAGTAACAACAACTTCTACTATAACTATGGCAACCTCCCCACTAGCAACAAGAACAACTATTATTACGTCCAATGATGATGATGATGATTAGATAAGATAAATCCGCCAGGCAGTTGCCAGCGGTGAGTCTGCGAGCTGCATAAATGCTCGGGGCATATAAGGCCCCTGCATCTGTAGAAAGGTACCACCTATAAGCGGGCAGTTGGTTGCTAACATATCATTCTGCTTTGGATGAACCCCACAAATGTGTGCCTCCCGACTCGGGCGTTTGGATAAGGACACGTGGCGAGTGTACACGCAGACTCGGGCAATGTGAATGGTACCGGACGGAGGGGAGGCAGTCTGTTTGTTCGTACTAGCAAATAAAACAAAATGGCTTGTGCTGATTGAGTGCCGATAGCTCAGCCGAATGCCATGCCGCAGTACGGCTAGGCGGGCATTTTCTGCCCCGGCCATAATCTTCCTGCGCACACACCAAAAACTTTCCCAAAAATCCTGGCCTGCACAACCAAATAGACAGGCCGACATCTGTGGACAAGGGGACATACGAAATGCAGGGAGAGAGAGCTATCACTCGCTCAAGGAATGTGCTGGAACTTTGGACAAGTCTGTTTTCTGCACTAAAATATGGGCAAAAGCTACAACTAAACAAATCATGATTGTTACGAAATACTTGCCAACAGAATCTCGTAGATATAAAAACTAAGTTTGTCTTGTCTTCGGTTGCGTTCGTCTCCATTCGCTTAATTGGGCTACTTTTACCGCGTTTTGCCAACTCGTTTGGCTTGGCAGCGTCACCATGAAGATCAAACCTAGCCACATGTCCTCTACCCCAGAGATCATGATAATTTATAGCATCAGGTCGCCAACATGGTACACTTCCAGACCTTACACGGCGCCGTCAGTGCGAAGCATCCCTGCCTTAGCGCCGAGCTTCGACTCCTAAACATTATGAAGAAATG